GACAACAATCTAGGCCTTCAGAGTCTTATGCTGCCGTTGGAAATATGGAATTAGTTTTTTTATCAGTTTATAGTGGAATTGCAAGAAAACTAATTCAAAATATCTACTAATTGTACTCCACTTTGAATATTAAGACCAAAATCCCATGCAAGCAAACACATTACTAACCCATTTGAAGGAGGATATACTATAAACATGAAATTACAACATAACCATATTATTGGCATATTGTTGATAAACTCTGAAGCGTAACTTACTCTTCTATTAGAAGCTTCCAAACAACAAGCTTGCAAAATTACAATGACTCAAAAAAGAAATGGTAAATAGTCTGCTTCATTTATGATCCTTCGATAATCATTAAAATAATAAGTAGCGCTGACAATTTTTATGCACTTAATCTTTCTGTTTTCCTTTTGTGTATGTTACTTCTTTGCTTCTATTTTTCTACTTTGAATAGCTACTGTTCAGACGTTCAAAAAAAAAAAAAAATTCCTACAGCTCAAATTGAACACATATTAAGGGATCGAGGGATGAAATATTTTTTGATGCGGTCATGAGTTCTTTTTGGAGTTTGCTCCTCACAAACAATGACAGATTGTGGCTTTAACTTCACAAATTTGGTTCATTGTCTCACTTTAGTTTTTTTTTTGGAGGAGCAATCCTTAAAATTCTCTAGATATCAATGGACTATTCACTATAATAACATGTAACTCATTCAAAAGAAGATTTCCGTTTCATTGTAAAGAGAATAGGATAAGAAAGCGAATTTTTTTTTCAATTAAATTATTGGGTTTTTTCACTTTTTTGTACCCCTCCTCATTTGGAAAATTATAAGAGTTACATTCTTCGCAAGCTATCTTCCTCAGTTTGAGCATTAAAACTGCCCATTGAAATGTTTTACCATTCTAACCACCTAAGGAGTTACCTCTGTTTGAGCCATTCCAAATGCACATTAATATACTTTTCGTTTATCTTAATTCACAAACATCGATTTTAGTTATGTTACTAGCGGTTATAGTGTTCTTGCTTGAGTTAAGTTTGGTAAACTAGACTTTGCCTACCAAGGTAATTAGCCTTAAAATGCATTGTTGTGGCTATAAAATTTTAGCAATTTGTTATTTCATTTAACAATAAACTTCTAAAAGTACCTTACAAAGACTTTTATTTTCCTCTTCAATCCTCAAACGATTATCTAAAGACAAACATATCCTATTTTCTAATTTAACTCTTAAACCATTCCTATTCTAGGGATAAATATTCAATTATACGTGCAATGAATAAATTTATATCTATATCTATATCTATTCTATACAAATTTAAAATGTTAATTATTCTTCAAAATTTTTGAATCCTTATTTTACCCTTAACAAAATACTAAATCTAGAGAATATTTTTTTTGACTTTTGTTCTTCATCCAGCAAAGAATAAACCTGTATGACTTTTGCTCTTCCTCTAGATTTACTGTTCTGCATTCATTTCATCTTCTTTCTATGTTCACCAACCACCATATATGTCCCACCATAATCTCTCTTTTATACCAAGCGCGTATTACATCCAAAAAAACTTTATTTTCTAAAAACTAAAGGTCATTCATGTGAGAGCATTATGATTTTGGTTCTCCGTCTCCTTTGATCAAACACCGAAATCAATATAGGTTGTTATGTGTTCTACTTTGAGTATTGGGGGTTTGAGAAAAAATATTGTGCATGCATTTATCTTTATTTATATGAAAATTGTATACATGTATATGCACATTGTTTTGGTGCTTTTGGACTTACCTTTTAACTGTAATTTTCTATCGTGTCTTATTTGTTGGCTCTAAATGCTTTTTGGTTCAGATATTCATCTTATGTATTTTTTTTTATATAATTTTAGGATTTGGAAATTTTCACAATCATTTTTCTATAGAGTTGCATTTCTTTTATTCAAAGGCTTATTTGTTGTTATTATTTTTTTAAAGATTTTACTAATCAATGGTAACTTTTCATTGAAACATGTTATAGGAATCTTGCATTCAATAAGGGGTGTTGTTTGTTCATTGATTTCAAAAATTGACATTGATCTTAAAGGTATATTTAGATACTAAAAATATTAGTAGAACAAGAACTCAGTCAAGGCCAAATAGATCTGTCTCTGGGAGGTCAGTTTCTCTTTCGTTATATTCGTTGGTTGATATTGATAATTCTTCTTTCTACCGATATTATATACTGGCCAAAACTTATATGTACTTTTTTTCTTTTCCTCATTGTTTGAATTATTTGTATTTGTCTTAAAAGCATGAACTTGATAGCAACATTGTGTCATATCTTCGATTTCTCATTTATTTAATTTTTATTAGCACAGAGGATATTTTCTTCTAGTTCTATTTACTATCATAATATTTTGCTTAAATTTCAATGGCGTTTGTTGATAAACCCATTGGAATCACTGTTGGACTAATTCTTTTGTTGTTCTCAACTCTCAAATTGAGCTTTTCTTCTATGATTTGATAATAGGATGATCACTTAGGAATTTATTTATTTAGGTTTAATATTCTTCTATTATGCTTGTAAGCCATATTGATTTCATCGGTGCATACATTACGCTAAGTCGAAGCAGAAGAGCGCTTTTATAGGAAAATTGCTTTTGGTTGCTGTCCTTAGAGCATTATGCATTCTCTTTGCTCAAACATTCTTCAAATTCTAATACCCCAAACATTGTAATGCCGTTATCCCTTCATTTCGATCATTACTCTTCGTTCATTACCTTGAAAAGCCATTTGAAACATATATGCAATATTCTTCAAACATCTTTTCTCTAGATTCAATTTCATGTTTATGAAAAGTCAATCGTTTTTTCCGCAATATTTTAGTCTATTATTTTCTTGCTCGCTTCATAGCACTTTTTTGTTATGGTTAAGTTTGTACCGTTATGAATTTAGATATGTTTTTAATTTTTCATCTAATGAGCGTGAATGCCATATTTTATGGTAGGCTCATAGTTATCCTTTTTTTTATTTTTTTGTTACAAACACATAAAACAGTCCATTCAATTTATTGGCATGTAGATAAACTCATGTGTGTTAATGGTGTTCCAATGAGATGATCAGTGAAGTTCTTTCAACTTGCAATGTGCTTATTAGCTTCTTGGTGGATGTTTTTCAAGTTTAGTAGATTTCTTTGAGCTCAATTTGTAGCACTCTCGAAATTGAATTGCTTAATAAAGTTTTAGACAATATTTGAAGCTAGAAATTCAACAAGACTGAAAAAATTAGAGCAGCCACTAGAAATGAATCAGATTAGGAAAGGTCTTCATTTCTATCACGTTGATCATTTGGAATGGTTGCTTGTATTCATTTCAAAATCAGCTCACATTGAATCACATTTTTGGCAAGATGCAAACATATCCTCTATCATTAAAACATATTATGTTTGGTAGTATGAAGGATTTTTTGGGATATCAAATAATTATAATGCCAATGAATTATAGCCCAAAAGTAGTTTTGTTTTGGTTGGCTATGGTGGGATGAAAGAAAACTACTATAGCAAAAGTTGTGATTTTAACTGAAGCTATAATTTGTTCATCTCCACGTCTATTATGAAGAGCATCAGTACTTGATAGGAATCATCACGAAACAACTTTGCCGTTGGGTTTTTCTTGAATGTTACATCAAACTGCACTAAATCATGCATATTCAATGAGAAAGAGGACCCCGAATTTGAATGTTTGCATTATACAGACCACACACCTTTGTATTCAAATGACTGCCTAATTTTGATAAACACTTGTGCCACTAACATTTTGCTACTTACTACTTTTTGAGATCTTGAGATGGAGAAAAAAAATTGTATCGGTCAAAAAAGAGGTGTCTATTAAGTTAATGTGAGCTATGGCCCCGAAAACTTGAGAATGACTTTGGTTTTTTTCAATTGATATGCATTTGTCGGCTTTGGATTTCATTTAGTGTGGCCTTCGATATTAACACTATGGTTATAAGCAAGTTTGGCTATCTAATTGTTATGTATTTTTAAGTTGGAATCTAACTCATTATTTATGCTTCAATGTAAGGTATTTTAAGAATATACACTAACGTTAGAATTCAAAATGTTTACGTGCAATGCACATGTGCACCAACTAGTAACAAGTAAATAAGTGGATTTTCACATAATTAAATGAGAGCAATGTTATGTAACCCAAATTTGTATCTCAAATTAATAAAGATCATTAGATCAGTGGTTCTCATTTCAAAAAGTTGATGGGATCTACTCATCCAATGGTGTCCGTTCATTTGAGATGTAAATTTGGATTACATAGTATTTTTTATTAAATAACTATTTATCAATGTCATGAAATAACTATCCACTTATGGGGAATTCTTCGGTACCACCGGTTACTATTTTTTTGATAAAGTTATAACTCATAAGAGAGAAGTTACAACTGTTCAAGGGGGACCATAATCGATCACAAATACACATGATCGATTATGAACTTCCCCTAAGCAGTTGTAACTTCTCCCTTATAAGTTGTAACTTGACCTTTAAAAGTTGTAACTTTGTATTGTATCAATCTCAATTTATCATGATCGATCATGACCTTTAAAAATTGTAACTTATATTTTAAAAAAATTATAACTTAACCTTAAATAGTTGTAACTGGCGGTACGGTACCTCCTTTGGTACCGTAGAATTCCCCTCCACTTACCCACTTATTATTGGACAATTAAACAATATTATCGTGTAAGCGTTACACCCAGTACTTTCTCCTCCAGAAAGCCTCATACAAACTTGTTCATCCTGAAAGTGCACGCCAAACACATTCATAAGTCACCTCCATTAACTCCATTGGGTTTTTCGACTAGAAAGACATTAAATAACCAGTAAAACCTAATTAAAACTCATCGTACCAGTTACTAATACCAACCATCTTTACACTGAAGGGGTGATGATGCTATTTGTTTATTGGAAAAACTAAGAGTCATTCCACAAACCATAATTAATTTAAACAATTACAGATAACACCCCATGGCTAATGGTTCTCGGCTCATGCAAAGTGGTATGGAGTCAAATCGGAACAATTTTCCAGCCAAGTCGCCGCAGTTCTTCAGGATTATTTTCTCCCAGTCTTCTCGAAATCACAGGCTGGTAAGTATTTCAATCTCTTGTTCTTTCAAGTATATTGCTATTCATGCATGAACGTACAACGCTTTTTTATTTTTTTACTTTCAATAATATTCTAAAATTTTAATTTATAGTTTATTATTTTTATTTTTTGAGATTCATAGTTACTAATTAAATTTTGTTATCCAAATTATGCTAAAATATTTTTTTAATTGATTGAATGACTTTTGATCATTAATATTTTGATGAAATTATAACTTATTATTTCATTAGTATTTCTATGTTCTTTGTATATTCTTCACTGAAATTGTAGTATTACATGATTGATTATTATTATTATTATTATTATTATTATAATTACATCATTGTTATTTTTTTGTTGAATTATTCCACTATCTTTAATTTTTTAGAATCTTTTACTTGTTATGTTTGCAACTTTCACATAAATTTTTGATTTATTTTATTTGTTTCGGGTAATAATTTATCGAAATATTTTTTTGGAATTAAATTATTTTTTAGTTTAGATCATTTAGGAGAATGAATAGTTTGGTTGGTATTTTGTGTTTGAATGACAGTAACAATTGAGTTTGAGGGAAATAGAAAATGTATCGAGTTTGTTTTTGTTTTTGTGTGTGAGAGAGAAAGAAAGAGATGGATTGCTTATTGTATTTTTTAATAGGAGAAAGTCAAAAAAAATTGATGATATCACACTTTCTTAGTAACCCTATTTGTCTTCTTACAAATGTTTTTGTGTGAGGTGGGTTGGACTTTGGGACTCCAATTTTAAAATTAATTTTATTGGGTTACTCTTTCAAAGAACTTTTTTGTTGGATTAAATTGGAACTTGGGGACTCCAATTTTTCTTGTTAACCCTATTTATCCTTTTGCTTGAGGCCTTTTTAGATTCAGAAGTATTGTAAATACACAACCTAGTTTCCTTCATGCCTAACGTTCCATTTAGAGCGTGTAGCTAAGATTAATGTTCTAATGACCCACAGATGTGACATTATTCAGGTATCAATACATTATCAAAAGCTATTTTTTGATAGTGTAATAACTTCTTTTGTTGGATGAGTGCTTCTAGCGAAAGCATGAGACATGTAAAATCTTCTTGGTTTTTAAGCTCATTGTATTGTTTCTATTATCAATGGTTACAAATAAAGCATACCAAAAATCTTCTTTTTGCATTCGGTACTATAGACATTCCTATCATTCTTGGCTGTAAAATTGGTGTTTTTTAAAATGAAGTTTGTAGTGTTGTGGATGGTATTGTCAACAATGTTTTAATGCCCCGAAGCAATGCACAAACTCTTGTTCAATTTTGGTGTTTTTCTTAGTACTTGTAGTACCAGGGGTTTTTTTTTTTTTTTTAAACAGAGGATCCCAACAGAATTTATGAGAAGATATGGAAATAGTGTGCCAAACCATGTATTCCTCAAGGTTCCAACTGGTGAGGTATGGCAGGCAGAATTGAGAAAATCTAATGGCGTCGCTTGGCTAGGGAACGGGTGGAAAGAGTTCAGAGAGTTCTACACAATAGAGTATGGTCACTTTCTGGTATTCAGATATGATGGGAATTCCCATTTCCATGTCCTTATATTTGATCGAAGCACTTCTGAAATTGAATATCCATTCAGTGCCAATCACAGTGCAAGAACTGACTTTACTGGGAAATTCCATGCCAAAACAGAATGTGTGGAAGTTGATGATTCTGTCGAAATCCTGGAAGAATTTCCAGCATCAAAGACGAGGGAGAAATCACCATTGTCATGTTCTAGGCCCTGTAAAAAAACGAAAACCAATCGAACTTGCGAAGAACCCAACCTTAATCATGGATTGCAACTGGAAGAAAATGGGAGGGATGATGTTGTTGAAATCTTGGACGATTTTTCGCCTAGGCAGAGAACAAGAGAGAAATTACTGCCACCGCATTTTCGGTTCCGTAGAAGTAGGAGGCTTAAACAAACTGATAAATATGGAAGTACTTCCAATACCAAAGCATTTGTTCAATCTACAGGTCCTCAAGCCAATAGGGTGAAGCCAGTTAAGTCCGAGAAGGGCCAATATTCCCAGTGTTCCATGCAGGGAGTTGGAGGTATGTAAGGAAATTTCAGGTTTTTTGTTGTTACACATTTTATTTCTAACTTTTTTGTTGATTTCTTGGAAAATCCAAATTAAAACAGTTGATGCTGAGATCGATAACTCTATTGAAATTCTGGATGAATTTCCAACAAGAGATGATGATTTCAATGATTCTTTTGAAATCAAGGAAAAACTTGCCACATGCCGGTCAAGGGAGAAATCACCAGTATCATATTGTCTACCCCATAAGAAAACGAAAACCAACCGAACCTGTGAAGAACCCATTCTTAATAGGGGATGCCGGGTTCCCAAACTTGAAAAAAGTGCTATAGATCCACCTAGAACAAGGGAGAAATCATCACCACAGTTTCGGCTCAGTGAAACAAGGAAGCCTAAACCAGCTGATAAATCTTCCAATCACAGAGAATTTGTCCAACCTACAGGTCCTCAAGGTCATAGGATGAAGCCAGTTAAGGAAGAGAAACGCAATTTCCCATACCGTTCCATGCAGGGAGTTGGAGCTAATGAAAAACAGAGAGGCAATTTCAAGACTTTGTTGTATTTTTTGTTTTGAACTTTTTGTTGAGATAGATATATTAAGTATGCTACTTAGGATGCTGCTGTGTATTTGTTGATTTATTCGCAGATGGACCTAAGATACATCAGCGCTCTACATTTCCAGCTGGGAGGAAGCAATTGGCAAGTGAAAATGGAAAAGCTAAAGCTCTTGAATCAGCTAAAGCTTTCAAATCTAAAAACCCTTTCTTTATTGTTACTATGCGATCCTCTTACATTTCCAGTGGTGTTCTGGTGAGCTCTCTACGTAAAAACCTTAGTACATCATTTGTTTGTTGATATCTTTACTTTCATCCTTATTTCACACCTTAATTTTACTGGATGATTAGTATATTATGATGCTGGGAGATCTACAAGTTTTCGAGCATGCTTTAATTTTCTTTAGCAGTGCACTAAGAAACATTTTGAAATTTTTACCCCCCCCCCTCTCTCTGTGTGGATGTTCGTGTGTGTTAATTTCTTCTATAATCTTATTTTGACAGAATATACCACGGAATTTTGTCATGCAATATTTGAGTAAGAAGCATAAAGATGTTATCCTTCAAGTACAGGATGGGAGGATTTGGTCTGCTAAGTTCCATATCCGTCCAGATAATGTGAAAATCCAGACTGGTTGGAACACATTTGTACAAGACATTTTTCTGGCTGTCGGTGATGTTTGTGTCTTCGAGCTGATTAATGGCACCATAAATTTGCTAGAAGTTGTAATTTTTCGAGCATCTGAAGATACAGATAGCTGCCATTAAAGCAAGAAGACGCTGACTTATCAGATAAAGGATTGTCCATGAGACTAACTGAGGAAAACCAAATATGATAGAGCTTAAAATGTGGTTAATTTTCCTTGTCTAAGTGCTACCTTCCTCTTTCTTTATTGCTTCTATGAAGTTGATAAGAATACATATGCTACTATGGCTTTTTGTTATAATGTTCATAGTAGTGTTTTTATGGTTTTAATATGCTATTCATGGCATGCTGTGGTTTTGGCAATGCAATTTAGAGATGTGTTTATATTTCTGCCTGACAGAATTTTGTGAATTGTATGGGATGATAAAATTGCTAAATTATGAGCTGGACGTCATAAGTTCGAGTCATAATAAATTTTTTTTCACATATAGAAATAAAGTTACCTTGATTTACAATAGACTATCTTTTTTACGCAGATGTCATTTTTGGCCTCGTGGCTGCTCTGGTGTGGGGTGTTAATCATGGGCAGTTTTCTGGTCGTTTTGTAACGTGCTAGTTCTCCAACCCTCCCCCTCCCCCTCCCCTCTCCTTTCTTGGCACAGCCTATACATGATTGGACCATGACGGTTTTAACAAGGTTAAAAATAGATATTACCTATGACCATACCCAACTGTTACAATTAGTATTATCAGAATTGGATCGGATCGGACCGGACCGGGACTTAGATCAGTCTAGTTCTTGAGTTGGACCATATATGCAAGTGAGCTGGGAAAAAATCGCAAAATTGGCCAGTTTTGGACAAAGTCGGTGAACTAGACAATTCAAATGTTCTTTGTTATAAAAAGCCGATGGTTTATTATGCTCCGCAGAGGAAATTGGGCTGCGAGATGAGTCACTCTATTCAACAATCGCGACACTTCAACTAAATGCGTATTCTATGGAAACTATTATTAGTTCGTCTTTTTTGTTCTCCTCCAGCCTTCTCTCTCTCTTTTCTAACGATTTGCAATATCTGTCTCTCACTCTCAAGAGATAAGTTTGATTTCTCCACTAGGTCTCTTTCCTCATGTGGTTTCTCCAACAAATTTGTAACCAGTCGTCTTCTCCTCCCCTTTCTCTCTGTAGATTAATTTTGCTCTAGGTTAGATGAATAAATTTTTCCCTAAGACGATTAATTTTGCCCTAGGCTTATTCTTTGTCTTCCTTCCTCATCACGAATAGAATAGCGACGGATAACACTGGATCTTACTTGATCTTGTTGGGTCTTCTCCTCTTTCTCTCTCTCTCTACACGCACTGTATACATAGTCATATTCACACACACACACACAAAGTCAAATACATATTAAATTATGTTTTAATTTTTTTATTATATAACCGATTTAACCAATTGATTTAACGATTGAATCAATGGTTGATCCGATTCTAATAACTATGGTTATAAAATTTGAGAGAAAAGATTTTATGTGTCTGTTTTTATCTTAAAGTTGCTACTGATTCCTTACATACTATCCTTATGTCCTAAACAAAAACAACACAGACTAAAATATATGCCAAAATATTATGTCAAGTAGACACTGCCACCAGAAGCAATGCTTCATTTGTTCATTGTCTCATGTTTGTATGTCAAACAGACACTGCCGCCACCGCCACGATATCGATCGAGTGTTGGTGGAAAACAGATAATTAGGATTAATCATGGGCCATTTACATGCTTTTATATTCAATTGAGAATTTTATACAATTTTTTTTTATACTGTATTTATGTTTAACTGTCCAAATTAGATTGACTTCTTCATTAAACAAGTTTTACGAGATTAACTCAATTATGATCTAAACCGTTTAAAATTATCTTCATGTCAATTGTATGTCTAATATTTCGTTTGGTAGGAAGGAAGAAAAGTAGGAGGAATTCACTTTATATCTTTCGAGGAAGAAAAGTTTGGATAATACACTTTCTTTCATTTATGTTTGGTACGATGAATGGAAAATAAAAATGATTATTATTATTTTTTTTTTGTTCTTGCTAAGATTAAAAATGACAATCGAGTAGTGCCGTATAAGGTTCGTGTCGAGTTATTTTGGATTCGTATCGATCATTAGTCAAACTTAACTCAACTCATTTAACTAATCATTTATGTCGAGTTGACCTGTTTATTTTCGTATTGTTTCGTGTTGACCCACATAAATTTTGAATGACAAATTTAATACTAATATTTTATTTTCACTTAATTGTACACATGCTCATACTTTTTTTTACAAACTAAAAAATAACTTTAATAAATAATAATATCTTTTTTACGTAATAATTATGTCAGTGCTTAATAAATAGTTACAAATAATTAATATTTTATGTATATAATATTAGTTAAATATGTTAATTTTGTATTATCATACAAACGAGAAAATACATAAAGTGTTTATTCTTAAATGAACGAGTTGATTATATCAAATTTGAGTTTGACAAGTTGAATTGAATATGAGCCGTTTATATTTCGTGTTCATGTGTCAGGTCATTTTCGAATTCGTGTCATAAAATTTGTGTCAAATTTGATTCGTGTCATAGTGTTAAGTTGAAAATTTTCACCCCTAGCTAAGATGAAAATAAAATAATATATATATATATATAAGAATAACGCGATCATGGAGACTCTATACCGTAACCTTTTGTGGATACTTTTTATGTAGACCGTTAGATCATAGATATTTTCTATTTAACAAAAAATTAAATTTAATAGGTCTTGATAATTAATTATCCAGTGACCTTTACATCATGATCTTCACTTTCTTTCTGAGTTTTTTTTTTTTGTTTAAAATTTATTTCTGAGTTTAATGGTTGCTCCCTTGAAACCTGTGTTGCCTCGCCTTTTCCTGTAACCTTTCCTGTATTAAGCCCTGCTGGTTTTCTGTGAGTTCAGAACGGTAGAGAAGAATGGTGAAACGTAGCAAAATCTCTTCCACTGATGCTTGTCCCGAGTTCTTCAAGATATTTGCGCCTGATTTGTGCTCTCAACGACTGGTAATGTTTTTCTTTTTCCTCTCACTTTACAATCATTATTTACTTTTTTTTTTTTTCCCGGGAAAGTTCAGTTCTTTTTTCCTCTTGTTTGTTGTTTATGACTTTTCGTGATCATTGAAGAAGAAAATCCAACTAGAGAGGTTTTTTTTTCTCCTACCAGTGAGTTTCTATTTATTTGATTTTGCACTAATCCAACTACTAATTACACATTGTTTATTGTAAATGTATTTTCCTCTGCAATTATCAACACATAATGGCATATAACTATGAGTTGACAATAGAAAGTATGTGGGTGGGTACCTAATACGGTTCTTTGTGTTTTGGCTTGCCTGTGACTTGGATGACTTAATCCGATTTCTCATCTATGTTTTCACATGCCTCAAGCTCAAAATAATGGTTTTGACCACCTTTGGTGGTTTTCTGGGACATTCCTCCAAACTATTTTTCATTCTTTTTCTTCCTTGTTAGATCATCTACGGAAATAGGACACTTTGTTTGTAAGTGGATGGTTCTTGGTGGGTGATTTACCAAAAAGAAAAATGGAAGGACAAAGTATTGGAGGGGATTGGAATCCAATTTTTTTAGTTCAGTACATACTCCATCTTAGCTTTGTGACCGCTATGTGAACTCATTTTGTTGGAAGATGTCCCCTACCCTGTTTTGTTAGTGCACTTTGTGAGCTTGGAAGATGTCCCCAACCCTGTTTTGTTAATGTACCTTGTGAGATTGTACTATATAATATAACGAGTGAAAAATACTACCCTTTAGTTTTTCCTTAGATCTGGCTTACTAAGTGTGAAGCCTTCACTGTCCTATTACAAGTGCTTTGCTATTATCGATATAGTTTTGATTTGTAATATTTGATATTTAGAGGTTTCAATGGGTCTGTCCTTGATATTTTTCTTTTAGGAATTGGGAGAAAAAAAGTTTAAGCAAATGTCTCAATTGAAGTTGAAGTAAATACATAATAATCGTGATTATGTCTTCAGAAGAGTGGCTAAGAAGTCCAAATGTGAGTCTGCATTGAAGTAAATATGTGAAAATGATCACAGGGCTTGTTGTGTTTTCCTTTTCCCGAGTCTGTTGTACCCACCCACCCCTCACTTTTTTAAAATGTCGTAATATAGGAAAGATTGTTTGCTATTTGAACTGGTATTTTTGTTCAAATGTCACTGTTGATTTATCCAATTTAGTTATAATTTTTCCCTCTACTAAACTACTAGTCTTAAAGATTTACTCTTCCTCTGCATACCTAATAATGGAAATTGTATTAAATTAAAACTTTTCCTTGTAATTAAAGAGGAAAAAAGAAGACAAAAAAACAAGATTTTTTTTGTTTTGTTTTTGGGTTTGAAGTACAATCCGGCACAGTAGGTAATTGATTGATAGTTTTTTGGAGTTGCATACTCCATCCAATGGTTTCATACTTGGAGAACCCACTAGTAATTATCTAATGCCTATTGTTACTCTGTGTACGTGATGATTGTAGTAGTATTTCATTAAATCTCTTCCTTATTATTAAAGAGTAGAAGTAAAGAGAAAATGATACCTGTAAGAATCTGTTGTACAAGAATTTTTTTTCCCGAATTTGACCTGTAGAGCCAAAGCATCAGATAGTAGGTAGATGACGGTTTTGAAGCATATATCCAATGATGTCATACTACTAATGATATGATACTCTTTTATTTATTCTATTACGACCAAGTGTATTTGATGATTGAGGTAGTATCTCGGTTGCGTCTAACCTTTCTAGTATTTGTTTCTTGATAGCGAATCCCACCAGCATTCCTCAAGAACTTTAATGGAGATTTACCTCAAAAGGCTGTACTCAAAAGTCCCTGCAAACGATCATGGTGGGTTCATGTGAATAGCGTCAATCAGAATTTCTTTTTTCAAGAGGGTTGGGAGGAATTTGTGCAATATCATTCTTTGGAATTTGGGGATATTCTAGTTTTTTCCTACGTTGGTACTTCAAAGTTCTATGTTAGTTTATATGGGAAAAATAGTTGTAAAAAACTGGCTTCCCTTACAAGGAATGATGTCAAGTCACTACCACTTGTCAAAGGGAATCAGGCAATAGGACCTGGTGAGTTTGTGTTAAATCAACAGGTTTTTTGCATGCCTGATAAACTTCCACGTACTGATAGAAAAGCTGATAGGCCCAGGCATCAGTAAGCAGGTTACTCAATTGACTTCATGTTCGAGGGTTGAGATGGCAATTGAAGAGAATGATGGAGATCTTGAGGCAGCCAACAAATCCATATCCACAAATCCTTCCTTCAAACTTGTTTTGGGGCAAGCTTATATCAGCAAGGGGATTGTAGTAAGTTGATCAACCTATCACTTATACAGAGTTATGTGCCTCTGATAACATGAGTATACTTTTATCTTTTCGAGATATCATTTTTAAAGGTAGTTTAATTCAAACCCCCCTTGATTACGGAAAAGTAGAACATCTTGCAGCATTTTCCGGTGTAGCATCTTTGCCATATAAAAATTCTTACATGCTATGCCGTAAGCTAGAGTTACACTTTTGATGCAAGTTTGGAACAAGGAGCTGGGACTAGTATCACAAGCAAAAACCATGTTGCACTCCAAACATCATTGAGAATTGTAGTGTGGGACATGCATCAATTGGTAAATATGGGTGATTTAGTTATTATGTTGGGACCTTGAAAGAAATGGTGCTTGAACACATATACGCCTCCAAACTGGTTTCTGTATGGAGACGATGGATACTCTGCTAAACGTTTATTATCACAGTAGTGGATAATCAAGCTCTATGATGGCAATAGAGTATTTTTCCTGCTAATTATAATTCCTACTTTGGCAGAGTATACCATCGAGCTTTCGCAAGAACTACATGGAGAAAGTGAGACCAAGTGCTACGCTTCAGCTTTCTAAAAAATCATGGCCTGTGAAATTGAATTATCGTCATGGAACAGTCCAGTTTTGTCAAGGTTGGCTGAGATTTGTAAAAGATAACAATCTCCAAGAAGGAGATGTTTGCTGTTTTGAGCTGATTGGAAGAAACAATTATGTGATGAAAGTTTTTATTTCTAGACCACGAGCCTATCTTGAGTAAGCTTCCAATCTCATCAATTATAAGTTTTGCCCTAGCAGCATGAATATTTAATATAGTACAGCACTTTTATTGGAGTCAATCTTAGTAATTATGTTCTTGAGCTTGGCTCGTTGCTTGGATCATGAGCAAGTCTCCTGAGACAACCTAAAAATTGAATCAGTGAAGGAGAGAAGATTTCAAATAAGCAAATTATAGTCAAGCAGAGTGTTTAATAAGAGAAAATGTTTCTCCTGCTGATACTATTAAATTATACTAAGGTTGTAAAAAGTGTTTGAAATTTCCTTTTTATTTTCCTTTTTTAATGATCAGAAATCAGTTAGCATTCCTGTTGGCTGAAGTTACTTTGTTAAGCCCATTCTCCTTGAGTTGCTCAATCAAGCTGCTAAACAGGCTGCCATTTTTGTTGTTTTGTGGTTCTGTTCTTTGTTTTCTTGCTACCTTTGGATGGATTTGTTAAACTTCTTTGTATCCTTTTTTCCTGAAACCAAATATTTTTTGTGAATCAACCATCCCAAATTAGTCCCATCACTAGTCCTTATCGAGCACTAGAGTAGTTCCACGTGTGCTACCTACTGCATCTATTTGTTGTTCACATGTATCCAGGAATATCCAGTTCTTCTGTCTCTAAAACTGGAACCTCGCCAATCTGGAAACCTTTCTATGGACTCTGTATAGGTTTCGTTCTCAAATTTCATTTTTAGGGTTTGATTTATATGTTTCTTTTAATTGTCCTTTTCTCATGTATTTAAAGTCTCTTCACTCAGACTAGACAAACAAAGAGAAAAGAATATCGTGAGACGTAGGGGTCGTCCACAGACGGTCTGTTCCTTTGATGATTGTCCTGAATTCTTCAAATTCTTTTTGGCCGACCAAAGCTCTGAAGATATGGTACTCTCTCTCTCCCCCTCTCACTCTATCTACATGTATATCTCATGGTTCTCTTAGTGTGTATGTTATTTATATGCAAGTGTCCTTGTGTCTGTACATTGATAAATCTGTGTTTTGTTTTAGTGAGATACGTTTGGCTTTTATTAGCTGAACTATTACTGCAGAACTGTAAATCAATCATGGATTATTCAGTTCATCTTTGAGAGACCAGTTCAGAAGTACACATAGTAATTTACTATTCAATATACTCAACCCATAAAAAAGCTTTAGTTACTTTGTCTGGCTGCCAGTAATCCAGAGAGGGGAGTAAAAAATAGTTAAGTGTGACACATTTTTGGCACAATATATTTCTGTAAACTTGACAATTGTACCTGTTAACACTTAACTGTATGCTTTTACACATACATATGAAACTGCAAAAGGGTTTTGGTTTTGATCATTTTGCATCCTGAAGTAGTTCTTTTTATGAGGATTGTTACGACAAAATGCATACAACCTCTTTTTTGGGGTAAAGAAACTTTAAATTGATGACCGTGCAAAAAATACCAATCCATTAGGAATACCAATCAAAGTAAGTGTAATGGGAGCCCCTGCTTAGCTCCCTTTCCCTTATGCACGGAAGGACACATGGTACTTCTGCTATTAAATTAGATATAGGAATTTTTAGATACTGGTTATGTCATAGAATGGGATATTCTTTATGTAATATACTTACTAAGATGGTGGTTTTGTCTTGCTTTTTAGGCTCTGAATCTGAACTTTCTTTTATTTTTGTCATCTCTCCTTGAAGCCAACCCAAAGAAATTATTCATCTCATTCCGTGAGAGGAAATGAATTAAAAAAGTAAAATTGAGTTCTTAGTGTCAGTCTGTCAAAATGAAAGTCTAATTCTACAATTGTGCAGCGCATACCACCAGCTTTTCTTGAGCATTTCAATGGACACATACCAGATAAGGCCATCCTTAAAGATCTTGGGGGGAAGTATAGGCATGTGGATATGGAAGACGCTGAAAATGGAGTGTTTATTAAGAACGGTTGGCAGCATGTTGGGAGTGGTCATTCTTTAAAGCTTGGAGACTCCTTATTCTGTAGATACAATGGAAATTCTTCATTCACTGTTAGGGCATTTGGTACGAATGGATGCAAAAAAGAAGTAACTTTAGCTCTTGGGAGTGTGGTCACAGGTGTAAAAATTGAAGAAAAGACTGAAGAAGAACGGACTTCTCCCAAGCCTTCTAATATTGGCAAGCACAAGTACTGCAAACAGGAGATTGAAGAAAAGACTGAAGAAGAACGGACTTCTCCCAAGCCTTCTAATATTGGCAAGCGCAAATACTGCAAACAGGAGATTGAAGAAAAGACTGAAGAAGAACGGACTTCTCCCAAGCCTTCTAATATTGGCAAGTGCAAGTGCAAGTACTGCAAACAGGAGATTGAAGAAAAGAAGACTTGTCTGAAGTGCTCTCGTATTTGCAAGCAAATGTGTGCAAAAGTTGATATTGAGGAGGAGACTGAAGACGAGTGGACTTGTCCCAAGCACTCATATGAGAATAAGCGAAAATATTCAAACAGAGGCATGGAAAGATGTAAGTTATCAAAACGTTAGATGTTTTTGAAAATTAGTTTTATATACTTATGTTCCAAATTCTGTGTTCCCTTTCTATTATACGTCACATGTACACCTACAAGTTCACAAGAAGTATATCCACTAAAATCACCAAGAATTGCTTCAAAAATTGTTAAAAATCAGAAGGAAATTGAAGACGCAGGGCTTGTCCTACCGAAAAATCCATATTTTATTGCAGCTCTCAGTCCCTCAAGGCCATCCCGCCTGGTGAGTTATGGGTCGAGCACCCAGCGATTAGTCTTGTACTGGGCATGGAATACTTGATATGGTTTCAGATTTAACCTTTGTGAATAGAAAGGAATAAACTATCAAATGGATATATTCACCCCTAGTTTGATGTTTTGACTATGGAAGGCCTTTAGCCCTCAACCATGGCTGCAAAAGCAGATTATGATAAAATTTTGAACAAATGGTTCCTGGAAGAGTTTAATCCTTGAAGGGAGATTGCAGAAGATGTCTTGTTACAGCTGTTGGTGTTATCATTGGCAATTAGCATCAGCTTATTTATATTGCTCTTAAAGAAGCTTTGCTTGGTGTAGAAACCTGAAGCTTGCTGCTTTGCTTGATTAAACTGGTGTCAGAGCTTGAAACTTGAAAGGGGGGCAGGGGATGTATGGGCAAGATGTCCCTCCTCTAGTAACTCAGTCAGACGCATATTAGACAAGATGGTGTACGGGAAGGGAAAGAGGCTAATGCTTTCGTTTTGGCAGAGGAAGTGGCCTGAATTGGATTGAGAACATATGGAACTCTTGGGGTAAGAAAGAAGGTGATTGACTAGAGAGCGGCATCTAAGTAGTTTCACATGCACATAAACCAGGACCATGGTCTTTAAAAAGAGGCTTCGTCGGTCACTTAGTATATACTGTTGTGGTGGGTGGATTGGTACTATTTACGAAGATATCTCTGGCATCTCTGTTACGCTTTGTTGTGGTGAATGGAGTGGTACTATTTACAAAGATATCTCTGTCTTCTCTATTAGGTTTTGAGTTGATTGTAGATATTATAGATCATTGTCTATTAAGAGATAATTCTTTAAAATTGGAGTGAAGCAAATCAAGAAATGACATACTCAGGGACACTGAAATTGAGGCCTTAAGTAGAAGAATTTTTTGAGAAATTACGAAGAAGGAACTTTGAGGAATGATTACAAACAATGTAGTGTATATGGAATTGTTAGGTTGTATCTGTCCAAGAAATATTATAATTGCTTCATTGAACCCAAGTATGGTTCACTAGGAGGACCAGTAATTTTCATAGTATCACCATACTCTGGTTGTAGGTTTTAATTTAGTTTACCAGGACAATATGCTTCTAAGAGTTATTTTTGTAGTTGACAAGATTTTGACACTTCCTGTTTATATTGAAGAATAAATTTGGCTCTTTAGTAGTTTGAAGTTCAAGTGAAATTGCATGCATAAGATGGTTCTCATCAATGGCACACTAATTTTCTGGTTGGTATCTTTCTTCCTTCAATTACAAAATGGTAATAAAGCGTGAAAATGAAATAGTTTGAAAGCTTAGAAGCATAACATGTATTCATTTAAATGTTCCTGAAGTTTTCTGCTCACACTTTGACGGTTTTGCCATTAAATGAATGAAAATAATATCTTAAAAGTTTATTGCCATGCCTTTGCTGCAAGTTCTGGAACTTCTTAAGTTGAAAAGGAATTACAGGAATTTAACCCAAATCTGGATTTGTTGACCTTGTCAGTGCCCAAATTAGGAATTTTATATACTTGTTAACTTTCTATTTTGTCTCAACGTGTCTTTCTTGCCTCTTGTTTGAACTTTTGTCTTTTTCATTTTAACCAAACCAAAAAGAAAAAAAAAACGGAATCAAAAAGAAGAAACCTGTGAATGTGGAGGGAGTGATAGATTTTATTGTGATTTCTATCTATGCAAAATGGATCTTTCATAACCTGCATGCTTTTAGGTTTTGGAAAGGGGCCCTTCATCCGTCACATAAGTTTCATTTCTCTAAGTATTGCACTTTGAATGGCACGGCTCTTGACGTGATTTCCGCCAAATGTGTTGACACCCATTAGTAGATTGTCTTTTGCCAATAAAGAATGAAGTGGCTCCTGATCTGTTTGAGTATGATATCAGGTTCTGACATCTAAATGGAAGCTATGCAATAACTGGTAAAGTATGCACACAGGATTTATTTTTTGTCATAATGTTAGGCAGTCACACACACAGAGAATTGATTTTTTGGTGTCTGTTTGTTATGCACTCTTATTTAAATTATATGCTGTCATACTGTGCTGTTGGAATCTCAAAAATAAGAATATCAACTTAAGAGTTATCGACCTCAATTCCTGAATAACTTGACCAAAGTTTTAGTAAAGTATTTGTTATCATGTTAGAAACTTTACCTTTAATGATGAATGAAATTGAAAAGTGTCTTTCCACCGTTGCCATGATGTATCAAAGCAAAATGTCTATTTTTTGAGTCGATCAATGCCATTTTAGTTTGGCTCTCTTCTTTTTCTGTTATGAAGAGTTGTTGTCAACATGCATCTATGGTCTACCTCTGTGCCCTTCTTGCAAAATCTATCGTGCTATGAGTTTTAAACTACATAACTTATTCTAGTTTTTTTTTTTTCTTCGCTTTTTGATGTCCACGTTGATCAAGTAATTATTAGTTTTTAGTTCTTATCAAAGTAAATCAACATTTCATTACATTTTTCATGGTTGCAGTACATTCCTAAACGACTGTTGAACCAACTTCATTTCGAAAGGTGGCGAGAAATGGTGTTCTGCAATCAGAATGGGGAAAAGTGGCCTGTGAAAGTCCATTTCATAAATGATGGTCGGGTATCCTTCACCAAGGGAGTGTTGGATTTTTGGAAGGAGAACAATCTGTGTCTTGATGGTAAGTGTTTACTTGAGTTTGGCATTGTCAGAGGCAAAGTACTAAAAGAAATACAGGTTCAATTTTTGTGAAGATCATGATTGGTGGCGTGCCAAGAGGCAGTCTTTGATTTGAAGGCACGACGAGGAATCTTTCTCTGTCTCTCTGGTTTTTTTGTTCAGTTTACTGGTATGGTTCATGCTCTGATCTGAGGAGATGGTGAATTTAACCCTCCCTCTATTAGACTTTTGGATTACTATAGTCTTTCTAGTAGATATGTCAATAGGTACAGATCTGGAACATATGTAGTTTCTCCTCTTGAAAGATATTATGAGAAGCATGTTTCTTAGCCTAATGAAGCATGTGATTCTAGCAAAACCATTTCTGGGTATATAAATCAGTATGCACGACTAGCACCTTTTGGTGATTACACCCTCCTATGATGGGCTAGATGATAAAACAGCTTAGTGACCATCCACACTTGGAAATGAGGGCTGTAAATCGAGTTTAACTTGTCCAATTTGAATATGTTTACACTTAGTTTGATTATGATTGTCTGTGCCTGAGTTCGAATTTATCTCAATTACCGAGCTTAAATTCTTACTCAAGATTGACTTGGCAAAAGTTTACAAACACTTGAGTTGAATTGGTGCCTTAATTGAGTTCAATTTCTCAAAAAAAATTCAAAAAATTAAATCTTTGGATTCCATTACCAACCTTAAATTAATCATTTTTTCAACAAAAACAAAAACAAAAAAATCCAAAATCTTATATAATCAAATACAGAACCAAAAACCTAAGAGTAAATTTTTAAAAGATTCATTTGACAAGAGAGTGAAATAGAAGTCTATACGACTTGAAAGCTGTTGAGGATTAAATTTGATGTATTCATCTTTCAAATAAAGGTTTTCAATAATAAAATTAACCTTTTTTTAGGTCTAATTGAATCAAGTCACGTGTTGCACGTGTATACTTGAATCGTATTTTAAACAGGTGACATGTTTGGGATACGTTGGAACATGACATGCCATAAAATGTACAATCAACTTTTGATCGGAGTTGGGCGATTCTCGTGACAATTAAAGTAATATTCTTAACGTCATATAACTCAAGAGATAATAAGAATGAGTTATAAATTTAAATGCCTTGAATTTGAATCTTGACAATTGTTTGAGTCAGGCAATGAGGGATATATCGTTCATGAATATCGTAGTCTCAGCATAAATAGTTTACATTTGACCGAATTGAAGAGAAAATTAATCAAAATACACGTATTCAATATGAACCAGAAGATTAGTAAATCTCGTTAATTTCATTGAATTTTTAAAGGTTAAAATCATATTAAATCAAATGGCATAGACAAGATAGGACAGAATGGCAGTGCATATATTATTGATAAACGAGTGCAAGCAAAATGAGAAGTCAGAAATTTCAACAGTATATGTGAACTCTGAAGCACATTCATGGAAGAATAAGAAGAAAAGTTGTTATTGTAATGAGTAAATAATTCTTTGTAGATTTTAATTTAAATAATTTATAAAAATAAAATAATAAAAATATTAGATAAAAAAAATTGTCAAAGAAGTTTAACATTACCCTTATTCGTAATTATTCAATGTAACAGTAATATTACCACATCATTAATAAATAAATAAGTGAATCTTACATAATTTAATAATTATCCTATCTATATAAGATAATAATCACTACATATAAAAGAACATGAGATTTATTTGTTCACTTATTAGTCTTTTATTAAAGAAAAAAATACGAATAAGTCATACTTTTTGTCCCAAAAATGATTTTGTACCCTCAATTTTATATTTGAATAATCAAATCTTACTTTTTTTTTTCAACAGTTAGGATGTTTGAGTTTGTAAATGGTGCACATTGACTAATTCACTCTCGGATCTAATCAAAGACATGTCATCTACGCGCGAGATTAGGGTATTTATGAAGAATAAATTCTTCATAGAAATGCCCTAAGAGGTTGCCAATATTTGAATTCAGGACGTTTGAGTCTACAACTTGTATCTGTTATTATTTAAACTACCCCTTGGGATGGACTGTATGTATTAGACGGTGGAGGCATACAAGAATATTCCTATAAACCTGTGCAGGGATA